TCTGGCACTCATTTCTCCCCGGCTCCCCCGGCGTGTGCCCCTTCCCCGGGGACGCACATCTCACCTGCGCTGCCGGCGTGCACTCGTTCCACGGGGACGCACATCTCACCTGCACTGCCGGCGTGCACTCATTCCATGGGGACGCACATCTCCTGCGCTGCCGGCGTGTGTGCTCGTTCCACGGGGACGCACATCTCGCCTGCACTGCCGGCGTGCACTCATTCCATGGGGACGCACATCTCACCTCCGCTGCCGGCGTGCGTGCTCGTTCCACGGGGACGCACATCTCGCCTGCACTGCCGGCGTGCACTCATTCCATGGGGACGCACATCTCACCTCCGCTGCCGGCGTGCGTGCTCGTTCCACGGGGACGCACATCTCGCCTGCACTGCCGGCGTGCACTCATTCCATGGGGACGCACATCTCACCTCCGCTGCCGGCGTGCGTGCTCGTTCCACGGGGACGCACATCTCGCCTGCACTGCCGGCGTGCACTCATTCCATGGGGACGCACATCTCACCTCCGCTGCCGGCGTGCGTGCTCGTTCCACGGGGACGCACATCTCGCCTGCACTGCCGGCGTGCACTCATTCCATGGGGACGCACATCTCACCTCCGCTGCCGGCGTGCGTGCTCGTTCCACGGGGACGCACATCTCGCCTGCACTGCCGGCGTGCACTCATTCCATGGGGACGCACATCTCACCTCCGCTGCCGGCGTGCGTGCTCGTTCCACGGGGACGCACATCTCGCCTGCACTGCCGGCGTGCACTCATTCCATGGGGACGCACATCTCACCTCCGCTGCCGGCGTGCGTGCTCGTTCCACGGGGACGCACATCTCGCCTGCACTGCCGGCGTGCACTCATTCCATGGGGACGCACATCTCACCTCCGCTGCCGGCGTGCGTGCTCGTTCCACGGGGACGCACATCTCGCCTGCACTGCCGGCGTGCACTCATTCCATGGGGACGCACATCTCACCTGCACTGCTGGCGTGCACTCGTTCCACGGGGACGCACATCTCACCTGCACTGCCGGCGTGCACTCATTACACGGGGACGCACATCTCACCTGCACTGCCGGCGTGCACTCATTACACGGGGACGCACATCTCACCTGCACTGCCGGCGTGCACTCATTACACGGGGACGCACATCTCACCTGCACTGCCGGCGTGCACTCATTACACGGGGACGCACATCTCACCTGCACTGCCGGCGTGCACTCATTCCATGGGGACGCACATCTCACCTGCACTGCTGGCGTGCACTCGTTCCACGGGGACGCACATCTCACCTGCACTGCCGGCGTGCGCTCGTTCCACGGGGACGCACATCTCACCTGCGCTGCCAGGGCACATGCTCAGTACGTGGGGATGGTTGTCTTACCCACACCGGCATTCGCTGTTGGGCGAAAACTTGTGTGCAGGACCAAGCACATGCCCTGCTGGGACAAGTATCTGTGTGGAAGCTGCCTTGGCCCCTGTTGTGGGTATTTCATCCCCCCAGCAGTGACTTAGTGAGGGGACGTTTTCACCCTTCTCTCTCTTTCAGCAGCTGGTGGAGGCCCTGGCTGCAGCGGGGGTCAGACCTGTAGCCTTTCAGGGTGCACGAGGCAGCGACTCTGCTCCTGCCACCGGGCGCTGGGGGGCTGGTAGAGGCCGAGAGCCTGTTGTCCGTGCAGAGCAGACTCTGTGGGCTGGAGCCCGGATTCGTGGGTGCCCATTGGGAGTGGGCAGGTGGCTGGCTTTCCTCTCTGGATGGCTTGCCCCGGAGACAGGGGTGGGCTAGAAATTGGAGAGAGGACCCCAATATTAGCAGCTCTTGTGGCTGAGCCGGGAGCAGGAATCCTCCTGGACACAGAGTTAACTGCTTCTGGTGCTGATGGCTCCTCTGTGTGTCCCAGCTGCCATGCAACAGATGCTGGCTGAGAGCTACAAGAACAAGCTCATCCAAATGACCTATGAATGTCGTCGGCAAGACCTCGTCAGCCAGGCCTGCTCCAGGTACCTGTGAGCCCTGCTCTAGAACCCTTCCCTGCACAGTCGCACAACCCGTCTCTCCGCACACGGCCGCACTGACTGCGGGAGGGGGCCACCGACACAGGACACTTGGTGTCAGCATGAGTGAGCCCGGTGCCCTGGGGTCGTGAGATGGGAAAGAACGGCGAAGGCCTGGCTCGGTCGATTTTGCATCTTACGTTGCACCCGTCCTTTCCTGTAGGGTCGGGTTGGTCCCTTTCGCTTCTGTCTGGTGCAGTCACGCAGGCTCTTTGGGGCCTTCCAGGCCGCACGGGGCACGGTGAGGAGGGGAAACGAATCCGACGTGGCGCTTGGCCCGTGAAGCAGCCAGAGCAGATCTCTCGTTGCTCTGCAGTCAGTTCTGTGACCGCCGGGAGGGAAGGTCACTGAGAGACCTGGTCAGTCGGGCAGGACAAAGGGAAGTGACTGTATTGGGCTGTCGGTGTGGAACCCACACCCCTAGGCGGGTCACTGCCCCCTGGAGCGGCGCTTAGACCACTGGCAGTGGGAGAACAAGGGAGCCCCACGGCCGAAGCTGGGAGCCAGCTGGCTTCTCGCTCAAGCTGTAGAGGCTCCTGCACTGAGCTCCAGACGTCCCAGGTTCAGATCCCCCGGTGGCAGTTACGCATGCACAGCGCCCTCTCGGAGTACAGCCCCACGTTCCAGCCAGGCGTGTGGTCCCCACTCCACTGCTCTGTGAGCTGGCGGGCGGGAGTCACTCGCTGCGGCTGTGCCAGTCAGTTGTGCATCTGCCTTGGTTTCACTGACAGTCAGAGCTCCCTGGCGAGCTGGCCATGCACCCGTGCTCGGTAATCAGCTGTCCTGTTCCCAGATTCGCTCTGGGCCAGCTGGTCTCTCCCTTGCACTGTAGCCTGCGGCCGGCAGTAACCCCGGCGATGTGTCTCTTGCAGCCTGGCAGAGATGGATCAGAAGTTCCAACAGATCCTGGCGTGGCAGCAGCTGGATCAGTACAAAGCCACAAGTCAGATCCTGCAGGAGGTAGGCTGGGTCAGGGCCAGGAAGTGCACCTTGCTGGGGGAGGGGCGCAGAGGCATGGCAAGACTCCACAGCTCTGGTGAGTTGGCTGCAGCTATTTAGTGCCTAGTTCTCTGCCCAGAGAGCCCACAGGAGGCAGGCGGTGGAGCTCAGAGACAGGCAGGCCTGACTTGGGGACCCAGAGCGCGTCGCAGGCCAGTGTTTCCAAGGCAACCAACTCTGCATCCCCAGGCCAGATGCTGTGGGCTGCACTTTCTGAGGTGCAGATTGAGATGAGCATTTGGAAAATCAGGCCCCAGGTTTCACATCTGGCCTGAATTGCCCAGTGCCTCAGTTTACCAGGTGTAAAACGCGGCAACTGCGAGTTGCCTCTTGGGATTGTGGGGAGAGCGGGGGAGGGTGTGTGATCAGACCATTCCAGTGCGGTGAGGTGGCTGGGCCCGTGCCTGCGCTCAGCAGGATGCCGTCTGTTTTGCAGCAAGAAATGCAGAAAGCAGCCTTCGAAGCCCTGCAGGTGAAGAAGGATCTCTTGCACCGGCAGATCAGGAACCAGGTGAGTCGGCAGAGGCAGAGCAGAGCCAGCCAGAGGTTCCGCCGCTGCAGAGCAGGGCCCGAGGAAACCCAAGCGCCTTGGTTCCTGTGGGGCAGCGTAGCACTGTGGCAGGGAGGCCCAGGGGAAACGGAGGACGCGGCAGGGCGAGAGAATGGCCGAGAGGGCAATGCTGCGCCGGCCCTGTGGTGAGCCAGAGGGAGCTGGGGCTGCTGTCTCCATGCGAATCCATTGCATCTCCATCCCCACCATCAGCCTTGCACACTGCAGCTTGAGCGCGCTGCCCCGCGTTGTTGCCAGCCTGCTGGGTGAGCGCCGTGTTGTTGGTGAGGAAGCACGTGGGGTGTCCGAGCCCTGGGCAGCTGGCGAGGGGATGCCCCTCTGGTCACAGGGCCTGGCCAGAGTCTCGGTGGCGCGCTCCAGAGAGGGGCTGAGAGCTCTGCTGGGGTAGGACAGGGCCGGTCTTTGCAGCTTGTGGGAAGCCCCTGGACTGCCCCCTTTGCAGGTGCCCTGGCCGGGAGTGGGTCGCCCAGGTGTGCGTTTTGCTTGGACTCTCTCTCACCTTGCTTGCCAGCAACAAGAACGTGTGGTTGATCCGTCTGCTTACCCTTGATTTGCCAACCTGGGGACATGTCTGGCCCCTCTACTGAACGCATCGCTCCCCTTCCCCACATCGGCATGCTGCACGCCCAGCAGGGTGTCTTCCTGGCTGGGTGTGGGATGTCTGGCAGTAGCTGGAGCACAGGGCTGGGCAACAGGCCACATAAGCTCTTCGTGGCTTTGCTGCTTACTTGCTGGGGGACTTCAGACGAGTCACTTTGCTGCCGTGCCTTAGTTTCCCCATCAGGAAGAGCATCTGTTTGTATCGCAGCAGCCGAGCGTTGCATGTGTAACCGCCACCGGGTGGATTTGAACCTGGGACCTCTGGGGCCTAGCGGAGGAGCCGCTACAGTGCCAGCTATAAAGCCGGCTGGCTCCTGGCTTCGGCCGCAGAGCTCCCTTGTTCTCTCTCGCTGTCAGTGGCCTGAGTGCCGCTCCGTGGAACAGCGACCCCCTAGGTGTGCGGGTCTCAGAGGTGAACCAGAAAGGTGGCCCTGCCCTTGAGGAGCTGGGCCGCCACAGTGAGCGTGTGCCCCTGTCCCTGCGGGCGGAGAGGCTTCACTGACCTGGCTGACTGCAGAGGACGTCCAGGCCCCTGGCTAGACGCTGCCCCGAGACAGGCACATCAAGTGCCTTCGTGTGCAGGCGGGCGGGAGGCAGTTCGCCCGCTTAGCGCCAGGCACGAGCCCCAGTGTGAGCAGCTGGCTGACGGACAGGAGAGGACAGGCTTTCAAAAGGCCGCCCAGCCCCGTTCCCCAAGGCAGCTGTGCCGCCCGGGCCAGCGCTACGGCAGCTGAGTGCAAGTCGTTCAATGTCAGTAAAAACCTGTTTCATCTTCTGTCTAGATTAAGTTAATAGAAAGAGAGTTACTGCAGCTGACACAGCTGGAGTTAAAGAGGCAAGAACTGGACACAGAGGCACTGCAGGTATGTAGGGCTCCAAAGCTGCCCCCCTTGGCCTGGTAGCTTTGCTCGGGGGTCTCAGGCTCTGCTCCTCCTGGGCTCTTTGCAGTTTCTAGGTGGCTTCATGCTTAGTGAGCAGGGGATGTTCCCCAGACCCCGTCCTGCTTCCTGCCAACGCGCCGCTGCTCTCGAAGCGCTCGAGTCCTCTCCCTTTGCGAAGCTGGGTCCTTGGCTCGCTGGGAGGGCGGGAGCTGCGGGGGGCAAGGGCTCTCCTGGAACCACCCATCTGCCAAGCATCTCATGAGTCCTCGCTTTGTTCCGCCTTCATTGTAATTTGTGTAAGTCTGTGCTGACCACCCATCCCTCCTTTTCCTTTCTGCGCCATGCCAAGGCCATGACAGCAACCCCTGCGCCCGGCAGCCTCCCGCCCCGAGGCCCTTTCATCCGGCTGGAGGGCTGCTTTTCAGTCACGTGCTTCGCAGGAGTTGTCTCCCGGTGCGACTTACCCCCCATCCCTGGCCCAGGAAGTCGGGGGTCTGTGGCAAAGGACCGGAGTTAGTGTCGTGCAGCCGGCAGCGTGTGGTCCCGGCGGGTGGTTGCAAGTGCTGGATCCTACCCCAGCCCAGGAACTGTCCCTGGGGCAGGGAGGCTGTTGAGAGCGAGGCGCGTCCATGGGTACCCGGATCATGGCGCTGCGAGCTGCCTGGGACTGCGCTCAGGCAGTCGGGGCGGTGCCCGGGATGGCAGGGAGGTGCCAGAGACACTGAGGGCTTCGGAGCTAGATGAGGGAGCTGCGTTCCCGGGAGCGGGCAGTTCCATGCCTTGTCTTGAACCCTTAATGCAGGGTCAGTGCCCAGAGTGGGGGCAGCCAGACCCACCTCAGTCCAAGCAAGGCTCCTGATGGGTGAAGCGGGGCAGCCTGCAGAGCTGCCAGGTCCCGGCGCCCGGCCTGAGCACCCTTCCAACAGCTGCGAGCTGCAGTCTGTGCAGGCCACAGCCCCCAGGGTAGCCGGCGAGCGGCATGCAGGGCCCTGCGGTCGCACCCCAGCCCCGGCGGCCATCCCGAGCCGGTGCTGCCTGGGAACGTGGTCCGCCGTGAAGAGGAAGCGCTGGGCACGCGTGGGGCTTGCGCCGGGGGAACCCGAGAGAGGGCCAAGGAGAGCTGACCGAGCAGGGAGGGAGCCCCGGGCGGGATTCCCTGCGCTGCTGCTGCTGAGCAGGGCCTCCAGAGCTGTCCCCGGCACTGCCCTGCGCCCTGTGACTTGGAGGGGGACAGCCCGGGGGGCTGGCTGCTCACAGAGGGATGTTTCCACCTGGGTTTCTCCTGCGGGTTCTGTGCCCCCAACAGGGGCCTGCACCTGTCTCCTGAAGGGAGCAAAGACGTGAGCAGTTCCAGGCAGGGCCAGCCAGTTCTGGGCCAGGGGGAGAGCCCCCGGCGAGAGCAGCACCAGAAAGGGGGCCCAGGCCCAGCACTCCCGTGGAGACAGAGTGAGTCCGGGAGCACTTGGCAGGCCCCTCCCCCCGGCGGAGGCGACTCATTGCAGCCAGCGCAGAAGAGCCGAG